GCCCCCCCCCCTCCCCCCCTCCCCACTCCCAATTTGGAAAAAAAACAATGTCTTCAAGCTGCTGAGGTATCACCTCCCGCATTTGCACAACCAGCTGGAAGAAGCAGGTGTTGCTCCAGTCGTCTATGCACCCTGCTTAGTTTATTCTCTGTGCTTTGTGTAACCCTCCAGAAACTGAGATGGTAGTTGGACTGGTAGTCTTCCAAAATAGTGGACTTTCAATAGAGACTCAAAAATGTTGTTGTCCTTATTATCATAGGGACCCAAAATAGTACCCCCAAAATTTTGGGAAACTCCCAGATGTTCCACCCTGAGCAGGGCACTGTGCTTAGGCCACCCCCTGGTTCATCACGCTGTTTGCCTACAAGACTCCTCTACAAGTCTTGCTCAGGCTCGGTTTGGGGTGAAGGGTTTAGGTTTTAGGCTTGAGAGTTTAGGGAGTCTTGTTCAGGCGCGCCTCGAAAGGACCTGAGTACCGACGCTACTCCTCCTGCGAGACTTCTTCTTCTTCTTCCGCTTTTTATCACGCTCTCCTCTCACAATTAAAAGGGCTCACTATTCATGACTCAAATGTCCAGTCTCTTTTTTTTTGTGTTTGCTGTTGCGCGCTTCATGGGCACATAGCTACGAGCTCTACAGTAGTGATGTGCGTGCTGTGCCGTGGGTATTTCTAAATGCTACAGAGAAGAACCCAACTTTTTGAAAGCTTCAGCTACGGACTATGAGTCATCTTTGCAGCAAGCAGGCTTTGGCACCGCTACATGCGCCGGGGAGATCCGACTTTCATGCCTTTTCTTGCCGTTGCCGTGATGGAGCTCGAGAAGCAAGCCTTCCTTGACGCCGAGGCTGTTTAGAGTTTACAGAAATACTGGTAGAGTGGCTTTCTTTTGCGGCCTTTATGCAATCTTTCTGCCATTGCGTTTCAGAAGTCTTGGTGTGAATGACAGAAGCCTCGTAACTACCAAAGCTTGGCCACAGGAGGATGATTTGAACTTTGCGGTGGACCGCACCACCATTACCTCCCTTGAGAAGCTGCAGGATGTTTGGACAGCCGCAGAAAATTTGCATGCCAGGCACTTTTTCAAATCCCACTGTGCCAGCACAGCAGGGGCAGAAATAAGCTCAGAAGCTCAGGCAAAGACGCCCAAGTCCTTCTCCTTTCGCATGTCTCGCGTCATCACGCAGGCCGGGTCGGCCTGTTCACAAGTTGGTTAGGGAAACGCTCTACAAGTCTCTTAGGTGAGGACACGTGACGAGTATATCCAGCTACCCGTGACGTTTGTCATGCAAGTGAGCTCTGGTGCTGGGGGTGCTGGGATGGCTTCCTTGACAGGTCCGAGAGCAGCTTCGCAAGAAGGGCTCAGGGCACCCTTGGGCCGACAGTGTCCTGGCCCGTGCGGAACAGGCTTTAGCCCATAGGTTGTCAATATTATAGACATGGCACCTTATCATGTCTAGGGCCTTGACATTATTAGGTTAGGTGCTGTGTTATGCACCAAAAAGAAGCCTTTCATTCGGGATCGGATTTCAACACGGCACCTTGTGTTGGGCAGCCTCTTGTGTGAATGTGGCTTCTGGCAGGAACGAAGGCTGGTGGTGCTCGCAAGAGAAGTTGTGGCGCAATTCGTGCGGGCATCCGGGCAGCAGTGTGAGCTGATGCGGGATGACTAGTTCGCCTCGCACAAGCGGATCTCATACGAAGGAATTTTAGACGCGCTTTTGCCTGAGAGCTTGTAAGGTTTCTGATCCTTCCTCGCTGGCGCTGCGCCCAGCATGTGTCAGGAGCAGGTGAAGTTCTCGCAGACTTACGGAAGATTGTGGAAGTCAGGAATCGGTTCAGGCCGTGCCATCCAGTGGCCTGCCCTCGCTTCGCTTACTCCTCCTGGATGTTCGGCCACGGGCTGCCTACGAGGCAGCCGCGTCCTCAACGCAGTGGTGACCTCGCGATAGGGAGCCGGGTGGCCTCTGCACCCAGTCATTGGCAGCTGGTGGTACTATGTGTTGGCTGCTCAGGACCACCTGCCGAACGCACTTCATTTCCATCCGCCTTGCCTGCCCAGGGCTCAGGCTCCTTGCGCTTGGTGGCCTACTCCATGAGGACAGAGGCTCTTCGAGCAACTAGTACAGTGGAATGCTCATGAAGATGCATGGAGATGCAGGTGTCTTGCACACAGCCAGCGCTTTAGCATTGAGAATAAGCTGGAATCTCAATGATATGCCCTAACCAGGCCATCCCTGGATGAACATCGGACTACTAAGCAGCAGATATGTATGCGTCAACATCAAACTGCCTGATGGGGACTGGAGGAATAGTACCTACTGTCAACAATCCTGCACGCTTCAGGAAAGAGTGATGACTTAACACGTGGTAGTTTCCCAAAATAAGGGGACCCCAACATACTATAGACCTTAGAATGGGTGCCCCTAATTTTGGAAAACCCCGCGTGGCTCGCGCAACTTGTGGGCAAGATCGGAGTGAACATTGGTCCGATTGTAGTTTGATATGAGCCAGAATCTAACTCCAAGGGGCTGATACAAGGGAACATAGAGGGGAGTATGATAGGGAGTTATCAAGGGGGATATTAGGAGTTTAGACTATGACTGATATGGTCCACTCTCTTCTAATCCCAAACCCAGAAACCCCCAGCCTAAGGCCGAGGACCCTTGAAGGATTGTTGCTTTCTGCTTCGACCATGCCATTGCTGAAGGACCCTTAAGAAGAGCTCGCAAATTGTATAGGGACAATAGCAATGATAATGATAATACTTATCGCTAAAGGCAGTAATAGTAACAATAATGACAGTAATAATAGGAACAGTAGCAATAACAATATTACAAAAAAAACAGTAACAATAGTGAGCCGAAAAACCCTAAACAAAAGCTAAAAAGCCGAGGCAACGTCTGGCCCAGGTCAGTGCCGGCATGAGCCTGGCACCCGTCCTTCGCACTGTTTTCGAACCGGGCCATTAGAGCAAGTGTTGTAGTAGAGGGTTTAGGGTTTAGGATTTAGGGTCGTATTAAACCAGTATATTATACTATCAGAGATTTCTGTTACATGACGCCACTGTACTAGACTGCTGTCCTGGTATTTTGGCTTGTAATACTAAATTTTCGAATACAGTATAGAATTATGGTACACCACCCTCACCGGGGTAATGCCTATAAGCCTGAGATAAGCGGCTTATGATAAGGGCGCTGAGTTTCAGAGTTCAACCCTAAACCCTAAACCCGTAACCCTAAACCGCAAGAAAGGCCAATCTCGGGCTGAACGCCTGGCCTCAGCACTTTCCCGCGCTATCTCAGAGGCAGAGAGGGAGGGGTGGTCTCCTCCGTGAAGCAGAAACAGTTTCTGGGTTAAGGGGTTGAGGACTTGACCACATGAGTAGTATTTTATTAGGGATAGAGTTTGATTATGTCCTCCTTTAATCCTCCTTTTGGGTAGAGTATTCATATACAGAATAGAGTCTCACTTGGCTTAACCACCGGAAAGAGCAGTGTTCGCATGGTTTGAGAAGTGATGGCGGGGCAGGATCTGCTTCCGCCATTTGTGAGGGTTGAAGATCATAAAGCCATACGGGCTTACGTGGGAGAGATTAGAAGTCCCTTCCCGAAAAGGGCCGCTTTATGCCACAACCAAAACTTTAGGACGGGCATGGGACCATGCAGACGAACTGTCTCCGAAATCTCTCTGGGTGCATAGGTGGGTGGATTGGTCGCACGTTCAAGGCTCAGCTGTCGCTTTGTTTTGATGGCATAGAAGCTGCCATTATTGTGGCTGTTCTTGCTGCTAGTATTGTCATTAGCACTACTGTTATTATGACTGTTGCTATTGTTGTCGTTACTGTTGTTGTGAGTATTATTTGTGGCCCTTTGGTTGTTCTTCTGATTGGATCCACCATGAAGAGTGTGTGCCTATCCAAGGTAGGGAACCATCCGAGGCCCCGCGCTTTCAGCACATGGATTTCTTTCCATGAGCTAGTGCTGTGGCTACACCTGCATGAGCAGCATGGGAGTCTTGGAAGCGTCTGAAGGCATTCGTAGAACAGCAAGTGTCTACTGACACACAGGTATGAAAGACCCGGCTGGACAAAATGCTGTGCACTTACACTTGCATCAGGTGCCCACATTCTCAACAACACCAAGGTCCCGCCAGAACCGGTAGACCCAAGAAGCAAAATGATCATCGATTTCCGGAGCGTGATTAATCACAAGTTAATACCATCACAATAACTCCCGACCATAATCCAAACAGTCTGTTCACGCACTACCCTGGCGCCCATTTGAACATGAGAACGGACAGCGGCGGTGAATAGCTGGCTGGACGTGGAAACTGTCAAAATGCGTGGCCTAATGCAGTGGGGCCTTTGTCCCCGGAATGACCATGGAGTAATGTTGAAGGAGCTAACATCAAAGCAACTTGCGGAGCAGATCGTCATTCACAGCAAGAAAGCCGTAGAGTTGCATGGGGTCTAAGTAAAACACCATGAAATCGCTAATTCAGCAAGTCATGGCTGCATGTTACACCGCCCTGATCTTAAGCGGGTACATGTGTTTAGGGTTTGGGGTGTAAGGGTTTAAGGTTTAGGGGTTTCGGGTTTAGGGGTTTAGGGTTCGACCTCAGTCAGACGGAGTGCAGATGTTGGCAGGCCAAAGCTTTGGATAACACGCTGGACGGCAAGGAGCACGCAGCGCTTGGTGCCGAAGTGTTCCAGGCACACGCTTGCAAATGCCTAGACCAAAAACCCAAAGCCCTAATATATATCTACATAATATACACACACATATATATACACATAGCCCTATAGATCCCTATATATAGATATTTGCAGACACACACATAGGTATACATATATATATATATACCTATACGTCCCAACATGTCCTTACATAACCCTACATATCCGCATATCTCCCCTATATCCCTTCAAGAGGCTTTGTGTAGCATGTTGTTTTTGAGGCGCTGCAGGCTGCTGCGAGCGAGGCATGGGGTGAAGGCGGCTTTTGAGACAGAAGAGAACAGGGTTATAGGGTCGTAGGGTTTTTGGATTTGGGGTTTAAGGAGTTTAGGGATTTAGGGTTTAGGTTTAAAAAAGGGATATAGGGTTAAGGGATTTAGGGATTAGGGTTTAGGGAGATAGGGTCTAGGGATTTAGGGTTTAGGGAGATAGGGTCTACGGATTTGGAGTTTAGGGATTCTGGGTTTAGGGATACAAGGCTTAGGGATTTCGGGTTTAGAGGTTTAGGATTTGGGGTTCAGGGATTTCGGGTTTACGGTCAAAGGCTTTAGGGCTTTTGATTTAGGTTCTAGAGGTTCGAAAGAAGACGAACCGGTGTCGCTTGCCATGCAGGCTGGATCTCAGAGTCTGAGGGAGCCCACCTGGCAGTGCTTGGGGGCGAGGCCCAAGAATTCAGGGTTTAGGGTTTAGGGCTTCTTGTTTAGGGTTTAGGGTTCAGGATCATTGTTTAGGGTTTAGGGTTTAGGGATCCTGTTCAGGGTTTAGGTTTTAGGATTTCCTTCCTTTGCGCAGAACGTCAGATTCGGCGTTGACATGCCATCCGGCCATTTGTACACATTGCGGACCGGCGGCTAAACCCCAAATAGTAGTTTCTATTGTCTTTTTCATTATCCCTATATGAGCCACGGTCAATACTCGCTTGTAAGGAAATATGTCAGTAATTAGCGGACATGGGAGGCAAAAAGGCTGTAAAGCGACAGGAACATTGAAAAGCGACACCCCAGAGTTTTCAGGCGAAAGCCTTGTCAAGCGATGGGAACATTACGAAGCGACACCCCGTAAAGCGATAGGAATATTAAAAAGCGACACCCTCAATTTGGCGTCCATTGCCTGATGTAAGGAGTTTTGACCGTCACTCATATAACGCCCCTAAGCCCCAAACCCTATATAACCCTTAGGAGGACCCCCCACCCTGTAATAGTCGTATAATAGGAATATGAGTAGGACCCTAATACAATCCTTAGTATCCCTTACAGCCACTATTACAAGGTGGGGGGTCCACCTAATATAACCCTAATATTACCCCAATGGGTAGGCAGATTGGGATGCTGCCCAGCTCTGCAAGACCGACGGTGGTGGTGTGGTCGCTGCGCTCTTTGAGGAGAGCTGAGAGACGCGACGCATCAATGTGGTCATTCTGTGGGATCTATTTGGGTGTTTCCCCAAATTAGGGTTTAGGGTTTGTATATATATATATATACATATATATTTATTCATTTTTATGCAAGTACGTACATATGTGTATATAGATATGCTACATATCCACCAAACCATCATTCTGATGTTACCAAAACAACTGTCAAATCAGCAGCGTTCTGACCATTGTCCACTTGTCATAACCGTTGCAAGAGTCCTGCCCATGACGATGAATGTGCAGATGTTTGAGTATTCGCAGCGGTGCTGTTTGGTGCTTGCACACACTCCGGCGTTGCGCTGCTTCCGAAGGCTCTGACGGGGCAAATCTCGCTGCCACGGGTGTCTGTGGTGCTTGGGGGGGCAGTGGCACTGCAGCGCGAGGCTGGGCACGTTGGCTTCCCAACAAAGTTTATCAATAGAAGTCGGACACAGAGTGAATGAGAGAAATCAACGTGCTGATGGCAACAGACATATTTGAAGGGTCTTCCAGTTTGTGGCTCTGACATCCACGGCAGGCAGAAAAACGAGGAGTGAAACTCGAGAGTACTGCACGGGCCCAATGTGGGGGGGGTGAGGATTGTACGGATCACATGTGGGAAAGGCCTTTCCGGAATGATACTTGGGTTGATCTAGGTTGATCTTAGGCCGCTCTTCCTCTGCTCTATGATTCCTTTGACTGGATTCTGAGGGATGTGCTCCTAAACCCCTGCACCCCTAAACCCTAAGCCCCGAGGCGGAAAAGTAGCGCTCAAAAAAAACCCTGAGGCTGCCTCATCGCCTCATGAGTCTTCCGGATACTCCAGTGGCAACGTGCGAGGCAATGCCTCCATTTACATTAGGAGCACATTATCTCCCACCCTCGCATCACATGTATATGCATGTATCTCTACACACATATATTTTTGTACATGTCTACATTTCCATATTGTATATATAGATATGTGTAATACATAATTCTGTACAGAGAGGTCATGCATGTGGTGCGAATTGCCTTTGCTTGAATGATTCCAGGCGCATCCAGTGCAGTTCGGAAAGCAAAACAAATAACTAACCAGCTCCAATATCCCAACACCGAGAAAGGAGGTGACTATCTCCAAAGTCCACCACTTGTTAGACAGATTTGGAGGAGCAGCAGTTGATTTTCCTGATCGAGTCTCACAAAAATGGTTTTGATTGGCTCCAACTTGATATGCCTTGATTAACTCAATTAATCTGATAAAGTTGTTTGCCGAAATAGCTAGATTTCAAAATCTACTGAACAGTATCTCGAATTATTTTGTGCATCAGACTGGTTACAATCAGGACTCGTTTGTCAAGACCATTCAAATTCATTGAGTTGGCTTTGTTATTATTGGACCTCTTTTAATCTTGGGCCCCGCCCCCTGTGAATTGGGAGGCCAGAGAAAAAACGGTAGGCGTCCTCCATACATCTTTCACGGTTTTGCATTGGAATTTTAAAGGGGATGATCCGATTTTGGCCTGAAACTCTTCAAGTGGGCGCCGAAACCTATGAAAGCGGAGCACAATACTTAAACAGCTCCAACATCATCAGGTTCAGAGCACGAGGCATAGAATTCCTGGAATCTCCTTGGGCCTGGCCTTTTAAAGAAATGTATGAGGTTCCCAGCAGAGCCTTTTGACACCCCTACATAACCCCGATCGAACCCTATCTACGCCTTACACAACCCAGCCAAATCACCTAAACTATTCACCGCTGTATTTCCTTTTAATGAGCTATAGTCTAAACTCCTAGTATCCCCTGTGTAGCCCTCGAAGTAGTTTAGATTACAGCACATATATCCCCTACCCAGACCCCAGACCACCCCCAAATTTGGTACCCTATACTACCACTGGGTAATTCCTAGGAACCCTTAAGGGGGATCTACTTTTTAGATCAGCCCAGGGGTCTGGGTACAGATAGTTGCAGGCCTTTTGTCTGGTGCTTTCGCGAATCTTCGTCAGCGAGCACAACAGGCCCAACAGGCCGGCAAGTTGCTATGACAGTCGCTGTATTGGCAGCAAGGCCTTATATTGTGGACATAGATAAACAGACAAATGAACACATGTACATACATACACATATATATACACATATAGATATATGTATGTGTTCTAGATTGTAGTATAGGAGTTGTATAGGTTCTCTATGAGGTTATAATAGCGGGGTTACATGGGGTTAAGGATATCCTCCCCTCAATGGCGAAGCACATGGAAAAGATGGCGGAACATGAAATGGAAGCTGGGTTGACATACGCGTTTCTGCAAACCTACACCCTAAGCCCTATCGACCCAAAAGCCTATAAACCCTAGAAACCCAAAACCCTTATAAACCCCAGACCCTTGAAGCCCAAAACCCTATAAACCCCAAACACTCTAAATCCTAAACCCAAAACCCTTTAAACCCCAAACCCCAAAACCTCTGTGAACACCACGTCAGGGCCTCGCCCAGCAGCTGCAGCAAAAAAGCTCAGATGTCGCTTAAGCCGCTGTCCAAAAAAGGCTTAGGGGTTTAGGATTTAGGGTTTAGGGTAGGGTTTAGGGTATATGATTTAGGGTGTAGAGTTTAAGAGTTTAGGGTTAAAGGGCATTTGCCAGAAGTAGAGCCCGTGCAAGACTTGCGCGCATGCGAGTTGAATCAAGTTGATTCTTCATGTGAGCTAGAGTCTGAACTCAAAGGGGGTTCATATAGGAGATTATATAGGGGACTATTATAGAGGTTAATGGGGGATATTAGGGGTTTAGAAAATGGCTCATACACGTATCCCAAGCTGGCAGTATCATTCTGGCACTCTCCTTTCCGTGCCTCTCATTGCCTCACGTCAGCGAGTGCATGATCGCAGCCGATATTCAGCTTGAGCATGATGGCGATGTGACACTTCTCTCCTGCAGGGCAAATCCACAGCTCATTCCATGCAGGTGGGAGAGAAGCTAGTATTGCTGACATGGAATTCAGGTTGCATGAGTAGCAGCAATAGGCATTCCAAGCTTCGCTTCAGAACTGCCAGCTGAGAAGATGGGCGGAAGTTGCGCCGGAGGCTGCTTCCAGCAGTTCTGGCTTTCCTCCGACCGGGAGGTCAAGAACTCTGTGAGCTCCAACCCCGTGGAACTGGATCACTGTTAACCGTTAGCAAAATTCTGCTTGCTTGTTATGAGAGAACCCTTGTAGGAAAGGCTTTGCATGTTTCAAGATGGATTTTTGGAATGTCGCGCGAAAAGACCGGAGCATGTACTGCATATGTTGTATTTCCACAAGACTTGCCTCTGGCGTGTCGTTTCGAAAGTCAAGCTGTTCAACAAACACCTGAGAAAAGTCGTTTTGCAACAAACTGTTCAGGCCTTAGCAGCACTTTTTCCTAACATAAGCTTTCATAGAGCCTGCAGAAGACAAAGCTACAGCCTATGCAGGCCTAGCGGTCCTCTACCTTGCTAAGCCAGGGCGCATCTGCCGGAAAAGTGTCCTGCTTCATCTCAATATATACCCTATAATCCCTATATAATCCCTATAATTCCTGTAGTTTCCATTTTCTTTTCCATTATCCTGCTATAAGCCCAATATAACCATCGTCCCCATTAGCATGCGATGCTGTGGCCTTGATCTCAGATGCTGGTAGCTTCTGCTTTGCCTTCTGCTGCTCTGTGCCAGTAGAGCCGTCTCTACCTCAGGAGGACCCCCTCACCCTGTAATGGTGAATAGTGGTTTCATAGGAATAGTATAATCGGATCCGTATTATCTCCTGTTGCCGCTGTTAAGGGGGGGGGTCCACCTAACCCATACCCGTACGCCCTATGCCTGTATAGCTTTACCCCAAGACCTTGACAACAAACCCGAAACCCTCTACACTTGCGCTGCCCCAAACCCCTGGCCATGTAAGTCAAAGTCTATACGTGGGTTCCTATTATAGCAGGTACTGTTTGGGGGGCTCTCTGTAATATGGATTAGAGTGGTCGGGGTCTCCCCCCTTTAGGGGATCTGCCATGCACTTTACCACCAAGCCTTGTAGAACGACTGGAAAACACAACGTTCCGTTTGATTTCCGTTTTTGTTTGCATATGCTATGTTCATTATTGATCCGCGAATCCCTACATAACCTGTCAATCCCAAAGCTCTACGAAAATTCATGATAAATGGATCCGCCTAAAGAGGTCCCCTAAACCCCCCCGCTTAACCTGAACCTGTACCCTGAACCTGAAATCCTAAACCCCTAAACCCTAAATTCCTCAACCCTAATCCTTAAACCTTAAATCGTTAAACCCTAAATCCTTAAACCCTAAATCCCCCAACCCTGAATCCTTAAACCCTAAATCCCTAAACCCTAAATCCTTAAACCCTAAATCCCCAAGCCCGAAATTCTGAACCTGTACCCAGGAGGTGCTGGTTGTGGGAGCCGGGTTGGCAGGACTGGCCTGCGCTTTGAGGCTGCAGGAGCATGGCGTGCAGGTGGGTTGTTAGAAAATACAGGGATGGCATGGGGATAGCATGGTTATACAGGGGCTATGTGGGGGCACCCCAATAAAAGGGAATGGATCTTAAATGGAGATTGGGTTCATATAGTGTTTTTTTGGGGTTGAGGGTTTAGTTTCCCCAAGGAAGAGTCAAACAGATCTTGAATGGTTTTGGGCTGGGTCTGCACTTGGGGGTACCCCGAAAAAGCAAGACCCTAAACCCTGAGCCCTAAACCCTGAACCCTAAGCCCTAAACCCTCCCCTCTAAAGTTTGCCGCCTTCAGGTGAAGGTGGTGGAGGCCCGCAGCCTCGTTGGCGGACGAGCGTCACTGAGTAAAATGGATGTTTCAACTCCCACCCACTCCCAGGGATTACAAATAGGGGTTATAGAGATATATAGAGATGCACGTGATCTCTCCGAGTTTGATAATGTTGATACTCTTCTATAATGTTGATACTCTACCCTAGTATACTATTCTATACTCTAATATGCTGTCACTGACCCAGGTCTCGTGGCGGAGCGGATTGGGTCCACGGCCAGCATGTCACGACTTGGAAGTATCTGCGCCGATACAATATGCAAACAGACGGCACAGCCAACGGCTGGGACTCCAATGTTCCAGGTGGGTTGTAACATATATATCCCCATTATTCCAATGGAAAAAATGGGAAATTAAATGAAGACTGCTATATATAGGGATATATAAGGGATATATGAGCTATAGTCTAAACTCCTGAAAGGGGGGTTATATTGAGGATTATATAAGGGACTACTATAGGAGCCATTAAGGGGGATACTAGGAGTTGAGACAATGGCTCAGGTGGTCCAGAGTGCTGGGTCTATGTTGATGGCCTGCTTCGTGGGCCAGAGAGGGTACATAGCGAACCTAACCGACTCTTCTTTGAGAAATTTGACCAGCTGGTGCAGGAATGGATTGAAGCAAAACGGGAAGATGCCAGCATGCAGAAGCTGGCCGAGCGCGCTTTCGACCAGCCGCCAACCGATGATGAGCGCAGACTCATGGAAGGAATGATGGCCGAATGGCACGCGGCAGACCTTGCAGATGTAGGTGTTTATGAAGATGACCTGTACAGCGATCGAATCAAGGCCTTAGCCCAGACGAGGCCCAGCATTCTGACCGATGACGGCGATGAGGGACACTGGAAAATTGTGGGTGGTCATCAAGGCTTGGCGGAGAAGATGGCAAAGACTTTAGATCTCAGCTTGTCGACAGTTGTGGAGCATGTGCGATGGACCGGAGATAAGGTGAATGTCAAGTGCAGGGGTGGTGTTTCCTGGGCAGCTCGCTCACTGGTCATGACCGTTCCCCTGGCCTGCATTCCGGACATTTCCTTTGAACCTCCGCTGCCAGAGGAGAAGAAACAGGCAGTGGACTGCCTAGGTCGAGGTGTGACCACCACCGTGTACCTTCACTTCAAGGCTTGGCCTCTGTTTCGCCGGCTTGCTGTGACACAATCCAGAATCGCAGGATGGTCATGATGGTGCTGCTGATGATGATGAAGTAGATGTAGCAGTAGCAGTTGTAGCAGTAGCAGTTGTAGCAGTAGCAGTAGCGGCAGTAGCAGCAGATGATGGTGACGTAATGGAAGAAAAGACAAGTACTCGAGCTTCAGCTTGCCAGGAAAGCTTCTGGCCCGAGCGCCTGGCGTTCCTCTTCCATTCCATGTCATCTCAGGTGTTCTGGCCTGGACGGAACAAGCGTGTCCTCACAGCTTACTTCGGAGGGCGGACAGCCAATGAACACCTGCTGAAAATGAGTGATGCTGAGATGACGGCTGAGATACTGCGCCAGCTCACAGTGATCTTCCAGAGGCCTGTGCAGGATCTTTTCCTGAAGAGCGAGGTCCACCGATGGGATACAGACCCCTTTGCGAAGATGGCCTACTCTTACTGCCCTGTTGGCACGGCTCATCTACGGAGCAACTTGGGTGCTCCATGTGGGAACTTGTTCTGGGCTGGAGAAGCGAGCCATCCTACCAAAGGCAGCTTCGCCCACGGCGCGCTGGAGGAGGGCGAACGTGCTGCAGATGAAGTGCTTGCCTTTCTCGGACGTTAAGACAGCTCGCGTAGAAAAAGCGTTTGTAGATGGTTTGCATCATGGGGTGCGGGTGCTTCCATCTCAGCCGTTTTTGAGTCCCATGCATTTGCCGCCTTTGCAGCTGTAGACAGACGGCCTGATGTGGTGTCTTTGACTTGTGGCGGTACGAGCTTGGCCGGGCGGCGGCCACAGGCGGGGACACGAGCTGCGACTCGAAGGAGTTGTTTCGCGCGTGTTTCTGGAGGTCCGTACCATTGGACCATGCCAGAAGGTAGCTCCGGCCTCAGATGCTCTGTGGTGACCTGAGGGGAGAACACCGCAAAAGCGAGCCCAGGCAAGAAGCACGGGCATGTCCTCAGAGTTTTGTCCAGAAAGAGACCCTTCGCTGACCCTGAGCCAGCTCAGACGGGGCATCAATCATGTGGGAAGGAGCGCGCAAGCAGTTCTGCTAAGTTGCGCGACGGTATCTTGCGTAAGCGGGTTTTGTGGTTGGTGGAGCTGAGACAATTAGCTTTGTGTTTGCCACCCAAGACAAGTGTATAGAAGTTTATTCGTTGCGTTCCTATGCCCGTGGCCGAAAGTGTAGGTAGATGTATTCTTGACGTGTTGTCAGGGCGTCTGAACCTGCAAGTGCTGCGTGCTGATGGCGCAGACACAGTGCTTTATTTTCCGCGCAATTCAGAATTTTCATCAGATCCTTGGGGGAAAGTGGAAAGGTTTAGTCTGATCACACAAGAAGCCAATGAGCCGTTGTCATGGTGTCAGCTTGCGAGAGTTTGCAAGCGGTGGATATTCCAACCACCCCAGAAGGCAGAAGTCAAGATTTACATGTAACATCTGGTCCTGAGGATTGCCCAAGCTTCAGATACTCTGCATTGACCCTGAGGGAGAACATAGCAAAACAGGTACAAGTCGAGAAGCAGGGGCGTGTTGTCGCTTTTGTTTTCGTGGAGCAGGTTGCATTTTTGTCGTTTCCATCTGAGGTCGACAAATTCAAATTCAGTAACTTTCGCAGTGCTAGTCGCAGCGGCATGGACGGCCGGGTCCTCGATTTTCCGAATCTGTGTCAACTGAAACAGGTCAAGAAGATGAGGGCTGCAGAACCCGGGTGGTGCATGAAAACTGCAACTACAGTAGCCTGCGTGACATAGTATGTCGTAGTTTCTTGGCTCCGCTCAGCTGCAACTTGCAGAGTAGTGGCTCGCAGTGAAC